TTTCAGTATGTAAAGTTTTGTAAGAACTATTGAGTCACATTATCTCTCCATCTTATTATGACATGTCATATATTTATATGAATAATTTCAGGGACTATGAGACTAATATTTTAAGCCCTGCAGTTCAAGACTTGATTTGTCATATGTGAGATTTGTTTTAATCACACTGCCTAATCTAAAATATATTTTCATATTCTATCCTTGGAAATTTGTTGAAAGTATAATAATAGTAAGAAGATAATATAATCCACTTTGAAATCTGAGAATAAAATGAGAAGGAAATTGGCAGCATCCTTATTCTACTCAATGAGTACCCAAAAGTATCCTCACTAGATTCCATGGCGTTTATTCCCCTTATCTGTAGAATTTCAGACTAAAATTCATGTACTGAGCATTCAAATCAGATAGACTGAGAGGAGCCATACATTGAAATTGATTGTACTGCCTTTCTAATGTCTGAATATCCAATGAATGGCAGGGAATGTGTTAATATGGAACAAGACTGAAGCTGTACGTTTAATATATGCTCACATAGTATGTTGAAGATTGCAAAGTATGTAATGCATTACTCTTTTTCTTTTATTTTAAACATTAAAATAAAACAACACTGGTTTCTTCAGATTTATATTCCTGTTGTGCTGTTGCTGAGCCTGAAGGAAATTAGCTCAGCAATTGAATTTAGAATCATGGATCCACAGACGCCTGAAGCAGGTCCTGAGCTGCTGCAGAATCCTTGTGTAGAAGTGCAGAAATATGGTTGTTCACTTTAGCCATCCCTTAACTAAAACAGGAAATCTTTTTTCCCCAGACACTGACCCTCATTCAGGTATTGTTTTTCAAGTCTTCCACTAATAGTCAAATATACCTGAAATCAACTTACCTTCGCTATTGGTTCACAAATGTGAGATGCGCACAGTGTCAAAACTGGGACGTGATGATGTCCGGGCGGGTGAGTGGAGCCTCCCGCCGCCACCTCTACCGATTTGCCAAAACCGGATAGAACTGGCTGAATTGTACCACTGCCTGAATTAATTTAGAACACTGGTGTGCTCGGAGAAATTAATCTAGTTTAGACCTAATCTGATAGTCCATATTTCAATTGGTTAATAAGTTTAAAACTTTACAGACCACATCAAGAATTAACAGCTGAAACTCAGCAGCATGCTTATGCATTATATGCTTCCTCTGCCTGGGGCAATTAATTTCCTGGTTGAAAGTTACTAGCTTGATCAGCTCCTCAAAATTATTTTCACATTGCAAAATTAGTTTAGCTGTTCAAATGTGTTCGGGGTCAGGAGGGTTGCCCATTTTTCAGCTTATCCAATCATTAAGAAAATTATAAATACTATTTGAGTTTGGTTGGTGAGAAAGATGCCAGGGAGATGTTTCATATATTATGCATTGATTTTTATTTATGTATATAATGTAGAGAACAAGAGCCAAGGTGGCGGCAAGAGCCAAGGTGGCGCAGTGGTTAAAATGCAGCACTGCAGGCTACTGCTAGATCAGCAGTTCAGCGGTTCAAATCTCACCGGCTCAGGGTTGACTCAGCCTTCCATCCTTCCGAGGTGGGTAAAATGAGGACCCAGATTGTTGGGGGCAATATGCTGACTCTCTGTAAACCGCTTAGAGAGGCCTGAAAGGCCTATGAAGCGGTATATAAGTCTACTGCTATTGCTAACTGCTTGGCTCCAAATGATCAGACAACTGATTCTTTAAAAGCAGGAACAATACAATAATTAAGAGACACATTATAGTTTTTTCCAGAAAAGGAAAAAATAAAGGTAACAAAAGAACAAACTAACAACAATATAACAAAGTTATGTTAAGAAAGCCCAAAAATGTGCTTGGATTCCCACATATTTCTCATACAAAAAAGTAGGTACTTGATGTTGGAGAGTTGCAGCTACTGCAGCAGCTTCACTGATAATGCTGGATGTTGTTCCATGACTGATATGGGTACCACTAGTTTCTACTATATCTGCTAAACTGTCTAGTTCATTATGTCTGTCTGGGATGCCATTTCATGCTAAAGCAAAGTATTACAAAACAGTGATTAGCAGGTTACTAAGAATATGTAGCCATCTTTTTTCCTTCATCTCTAGATAAAGGACCTCCTCTTAAGGTGATGGGACAGAATCTGCCTGTCAAAGTTCCCTTGAGCATGGCAAATATTGTGCTGACCCCTAATTCAGGAATTTATTTATTCAGCAGAAGATACATAGATACAGCTTTGCTGGATCATTTTTTTAAATTGGAGTCCAGAAAAAAAAACATATACACACAGAAATTAAGGATGTTTAAAGTCCTACACTAGAGCATATTAGTCTGTCTATCTGTCTGCCTTCCTCTCCTTTCCTGAGACAAGAGATTTGGTTATATTTTTGTGGACCTTGAGTGGTATATGAACTATATTGACACAATGAATTTTCCTAATCAGGGTTCTTCCAAACTGCTTCACGAACTTTATATTTCTAAGTGTAGTGAGTGATCAGGATAATTTCTGTGTCAAAATTAGGGGGGGGGGGGCAAAGTGTTAAACAGTACAGTCAAAGACAGCCTTAGGCATTGGATATTCAAGAATTGAACTGTAACAATTCAGTTTTGAAGATAACTTTAAGAAGCAGCCATGAAATATTCTCTTTCAAGGAAAATTGAAATTACCTTCCTTTTTCATCAGGATATCATATTCTCGTGGATCCTCTCCTTTATACCGAACAGTCGGCAAACATGCTTTCCAAATGGAAAGTTTGAGAGTCTCTGTACAACAGGGGTGTCAAACTCAAGGCCCGCGGGCCAAACCTGGCCTATGGGGTGCTTAGATCTGGCCCACAGGGCTGCCCTGGAAACAGCAAAGGACCAGCCTATAGTGCCTCTGCCAGTGAAAACAGAGCTTGGGAGGTTCGTATGTTTTTGGCTGTGATGGCCTCCTGCAGCCCTCTGCCAGCAAAAATGGGGAAGGAAGAAAGGAAGGAGATTATAATGAGAGTGTCGGAGGGAAGTCTTGCCTTATCACTTGGCTACCATAGTTCCCTATGACACAAGGATGCTGGTCAAGAAGGCCATGGCATTATTTATGAGATTAGCTTCATATAAAATAAATTTCAGTTGTGCAGTTTCAGTTCTGCGGTTTGCAAAATAGTGAATTCCATGCACAAATGGAACAATTGTATAGTAATTTATGAGCAATGTATCATGGTAGATATCTCATGTTTCTGGTATTAAATCAAATCCCAGGCTAAAAATAATTAGGTAATAGATCAACATTCTTCTACCGACTATATTTGCAGAGAATAGACTATATTTAGAGAATACTTAACAACAATGAGTATCTGGAGATCTACCACAGAGTCTTGAGAAATATTCTAGTCTGATCTTAGAATGATAGTGCAAATGATTCCACAAAAGCACTAATTTGTTTTATATACTTACAGATTTAATAAACCAAAATTGCTTATTTTTTCAAAAGCCATTGACCATAGCTTCCCTCTCAAATAAAAATCTTGCCTTCCTTTCCACGGGTCTCAGTTTTGCCTTAATGTACTAATACTGAATTCCAACAAAATTTTATATTAATATAAAGAGCACCATCCAAGCCCAGACAGGAGAGTGATATTGGAAGACACAGAGGAGCCCTGAGATTTGCAAGGGAAAACAAATATGATAAACAAAAGAGGGGAGAAGAAAGAGCCAAATGAGGATAAAATGCTGATTCACTATCAGCAAGAAAAAAACCCCTAAAAACAAACTCATTTTCTAAGTGCTAATCTTAATGCAATCAAAAAGAGCACCATTCACACATAAAAAGACTGGGCAGTTTTCAGGAAAACTATAGAAATGCAGACATATATTAGGGGGTAAAAATGAACAATTGGTGATCTGTTTTGCTCCATTGTACCTTGGTATAACTCAGGCAGCTATCATAATGCCATTGATATGTGTTGTGCCACTTGGAGGAGGCATCAACAAATGCAGATTAAATGATTAGATCAATTTGTCATTTTAATAGATCTCTCTTCTTCTCCCATATATTTCCAAGAAAGCTGATTAAACAAAGGTTTTGAGTGGATAAGGGCAACTGACTGGAGTTTAACCAAGATAAGATGAAATACCATGAGTTGAAAAAAATGTGTCTAGATGGAATTATTACATGGAGTTATAGTCTCCTGAAAGATAAAATGCATCATATGAGGTTTTCCTCAATTTGTGGCTTACATGACAAATGCACTGTTGTCTTATCAAAACAATATTTGAAGAACTTTGGCTAATCTATCAGCTACATCCTTTTATAGAGAAAGTAGAGTTTGTTCATTTAATAAGTGTTCAAAGTTTCAACAGCCTCAGAAAAAAGTGGTGTATGATTTGTACTTGCACTTAAGACCATCACACCATTCCCTGTGGTCATGTGATTGCAATTCCTGCAGTTGGCAACTGGTTTGTATTTACAAATAATTGCAGCATCCTGAGGTCACATGATTGCAATTTGCAACCTATCTTCTCAGTTTTCAGCAAAAACTACCCATTGGTTAAGCTAAATTGCTAACAACATGATTCACTGCATAATTCACTTAAGAACAGCATGATTTGCTTAACTGCCATAAAAAGTGTCATACAATTGGGTCCAACTTGACTTATGACTTCAGTGACATGATGGAAATTTCAATCCCAATTATGATCATACACTGGGGACTAGCTGTAATCTTCTGGCCGGTATAACCCAAACATATAGTCTATATGTTTAGTCTTTGTTATATTTGTGGGGGTCTAGGGAAGTGGAGCAAATTTCTGTACCAGTTGCACTACATTCAAGATTTATAGAAACTACAGCCACAAAATTCAGCTACTAAGTTCAACTGTAGAGTTTCTCCTCATGTGCTTGTCATTTTGATCTATTAGAGGGATGGTCACATTGTACTACAATCTTTTTTTTCCTTCTAATTTTTAAATTATCTTTGAAATCTTGCTTATATGTGTTTCCTTTTGTTACTGTTTTAAATCAGGTACAACTCCACCCCAACCATGGAAACTCACCAAGTGATTCTGGATTGCAATCTATGCCACATTGTGGGTGGGGAGGATGGAAGAGAGAATGTAATGTGGACTACCTTGACTTTCTGGAGGATAGGTAAGATAGAAAGCTAACAATAAAACAAAAAACTAATATTGTACTTTTAAAAAGCTAACTAAGTGGAGGCTTGATACTTTGCCTTCAAAATAAGCATAATTATATGCTGCTTTAAAGTCTAAAGGCATCATTTTGTTAGGTTTTTTTTACAACTTTGATTTATTTTTTTATTGTTAGATTTATATATCACCTCTTCTCTAGAGCAATATAAGACTTTAATATGCATATTTACTTGGAAATACATGAGTGGAACTTAAAAAATCCTTTTCAAACAAGCATAAAGTTTCCTAGCAAGTTTTTTCCATCTATATTAAAAAATATTGAATATTATCAGGATATCAAAAATCAGATTATAGTACTATAAAATTGGCTTACCTAATTATATGAGGACTGAATGTTTACCAGTAATAACACTTAAGAAAAAAATAACTTATTGATCATATATTAAAATATTCAGTACCAGATTCAAGTGCTTTCATGATTCAAATGTATTTGTTGCTGTTGGGGTAGTATACCACTTTGGAACTGTCAAAGCTATGTGATTAGCTTTAATCATAAATGTGATTAGCTTTTTATCCTGATGTTTCCATTTACTTTAAAAAAGAAAACAAACCAAGCAAAAATGTTATTGCATTCAATACTTTCACAAAAGCCAAATGCCTTGTTTCAAGACACTTAGCTGTACATGTCATGAAATAATCAATGGGTAACTATAGCTTCAAAAAACTTTTGAAAAAGAAAAAAGAAACATTGAATATTTATATTTAACAACTTAACTTACTACCACAAAACCCAAAAATGTTTTTATTTATTTTTAAAAGATCCAGAATATGTTTGAGCCTTTATGACTAAGAGATTTTTCCTCAAATGTAATTAAGATTTCCTTGGTCATTTGTAGCCATAACCACAAAGTTAAACTGTCCCTTCTGTTCTTGAGAATTTCATGTTTGAAAAATGCACTGAACTTCAGTTCCTGCCAAACACAGAGATGTTCAATTCAGTTCAAAGCCACAGCCCAGGTACGTGACTAAGTACTTAGTCATATAAACAGTAAGTACTCATGCTGTATTACTAATTGTTATCTTTCAGGCCAGCATTAGATTGCTTCCTTTTAAGACCAGACTCCAGAGCACTTCAGCACTGTTATACAAAGTAAAGTCTATTCATTTTATGAATTCAGAAATATAAAGCACAGAAATCCTGACAACAAAAGCATGCTTTGCTTTAAATGAAAACTCACAAAGCTCTGGAACAATGTTGTTAGCGAGTTAGAATAAAGATTTCAACAAAGGCAGTTTTTTTAAAATTACTGTAAAATTTTATACAATGCTGAGAGATCCAAGAGTAACACATTCTCAATTTGTATGAAATAATGAGACAAAATTGCAATAAAAGTAATTATGTAGTGAAATGTGGAACTCAATAAAGTGGAAATGTTAATGTTTGGTGCCTACATTATTAGTCAAGTACAATTTTGTTCTCTCCTTTTCCAGGACTAAGTGCTGAGTAAGGAAATTTCTCAGAAAATGAGAAATTATAATGCCTCCTGAACATTTTTAATTTAAAAATAAGGAAGACAGCTGCCTTTCCATCACTTAGATTTCCAAGCCTAGACCAATAGTTTAAATTTAGTAATAACTTTTTAGTAATAGCTTTTGTTTAAGAGTGTAGGAAGTTATCACCCAGCCCTCTCCCAGAAAAATGAAATATCCTAGGAAATATTGAAAAGGCANGTGAATATGTGATTGTATAGAATGAAAACATAATAAAATATACATTAAAAAAAAAAAGCAAAAAAAAAATTATTTCCTAAAATATTTCAGTTTGCAGGAGAGGGGTGGGTTTTAACTTCCTACAATTGCATTACCTTTGAAATGGAGATAGTAATCTATTAAAGGGATACATACTTAGAACTGCATATTTTGGAGTTAATATCTAACTATATGGTAGAAATAGTAACTGCTCAAATATAGCAGGGTAAGGACCCTCAGCAAAATAATCTAGGAAATGAAGAAAGTGCAAACCAAAAGCAAGAATATATCTTCTGAAATGCTGCTTCCAGCTTTCACTGAATGAAAAAAAATAACATGTATTAGTGTAATGTTGCTGTCAATTTCCTTCCATGTTGCCTTCTTCCTTCCTTATCTATGAACCTTTAGGATACTTACTTTTAAAGCAAGAAAAACAAAAAAAAATTTAAAAATGGGCTTAGAAAGGTACCATACATACTTAGAAAAGTATTTAAAAATGTACATTGTGTTAAAAAAGATGCAAGATTTCTTGCTTTTAAAAGGTAAAATGAAGCCTTTTTAATAAATGCATGTGACATAGCATGGTCCCAATTTAGATTGGTTCCTCAGGCTAAGATACTAAAAGCATGGCTAATAATAGCAGCAAGGATACAGCTGAAGAGAATTTTGCTCTCTGTTTGCCTTGAAAGAAGATGGAATTTCACATGCTCATTATCACATCAGGTTGCAAATTGAGTTAATTCAAAAGGCAGTGGACCGAGAATGCTTAGTGGGATTTTCCTGAATCACAAAGAACATCCTTTAACACAACAGAATTTATAGGCCTCTTGTGACATTATTATTTGGGGCCAACTCAGTTTTGAAAAGGCCATTTTTAAAACTTTTGCAGAGTTGTTTTTAAGAGTTTGATTTACCTCAGAGTACTTCTTGGCAGTTCATTCAACCAATTTGTTATTTAATGTATTTCCCCAGACACTATTGCTTCTTCTAAAGTTCTGTAGTGTTTGGAAGTTTTAAAGGAATGAATCATGGCTTCTAACACCACAATCTTTTTTTACAATAAGTTGATGAAATGCTTTATATGTATTGAAAGCCTCAAACACTGTTAATAAGGGTTGGTCAAAAGTTGTTTTTTTTTTTTACTGCTGGAAATGCAGCTTAGAAATTTGAATATTAATTCATATGGCTGGATTGTATCATATGTTTGTCGCATTTGCAGTGTATTGAATTGTTAATATTACTATGAAGAGATCACTGTATATTGATGCTACTCTTTATTACATTTCACATTGTGAAATACTTCAATTGTTATGTATTGAATAATAATTATTTTGTTATAATAAATTTTTATTATTATGATATTGAATAATCATCAGATATTATGAAAAGCTTTGGCCCTGGACTTTTTTTTTTCTTTCAGGTTTTTTTCTACCTATCTTTTCTGATAAATTTTCACTTTGAATGCAAAACTCTCATTTCTCTTAATGAAAAATGTAATAGAAATAGCAAACCAATCACAAACATTGACCATAGTATTGACTATAAAATTTATATATTAGATCTGATAATTGTGATAAACATCCTTAATTATAAAAATTTCACTCTCATTTAATGCTGAATTGATTTATAATCTATTGGATTATTCAATCTATTAGATTGGTACAGAATTATTACATTCTTAAAGATAAATTCTTTTTCATTGAAACCTTAAATTTGGATTTATTAGTGTATATATTATTTATTATATTTCCTTCACCTTTATCATATATTTTAATTGTAATCCTTCGGACACAAATAAACAAACATCATCCTAAAATGTATTAATAATTAGACAAGCAAACACAACTCATTATATACATTTTAGATCAGGACTGTCCCAGCCAATGGGCAGGATGCATCATGTGCTGGCCCCACCCACATCTGGTTTAGCAAAGAGGAAAAAAGTCCCGATACATCATGTGACACCGCTTTGACAACATGAGTTTGACACCCCTGTTTTACATTCTCTTCTAATGCCATTTTAGATTTTCTTCTCAATGTCAATTTAATTAAGAAAACCAAAACACACAACATGTATATTAAGATCTGGAACATATAACTTTAGGCAACTTTTATAATGAAAATCATATTAATATACATGATTTTCGTTTCTACTTGAAGAGTTAATACAGGCTGACACACCCATTCCACTAGCACCAGGAGGTTCAAGATAACAACTTGTATGTTTTGAGACAAAATGCTGACTTTTGTGTTGTGCTTGTGTGTATTCTGCCTGCTAAGAATAAAAAAAAATAGGTATATAGCCTATTGTCAATAAGTATCTCTCAATCTGAAAGAGGCTGAAAAATTCAAGATGAAGTATTTAATAAAATAAAATCATGTTGGGAATAATATCTTCTGGAACACAGATTCATGGTATTGTAGATATGATCTGGCCCTGAGAAGAGAAAATCACAAAAGAAAAAGTTTCCATATGAATACTTTTTTAAAAATGCATAAGCATCATTGTGTTCCTACATTTTATTGTCACTTTCCATCTTCTTTCTCTTCACAACCTTCAGATACATTTGCCCACATTGCTACTTAATTCGGTTGCCTGTGGCAACATGTCATTCTCTATTATGAACACACATTATAGATTTATAACATCATCTGTAAAATCACTGCAGCTAGTAGGATTAAATAGAAAAATATGCAGATGAATGGAAGACCAACACAGCCTAAACAACTTCCAAAGTTCTCTTTATTTGAGGCTAAAGGTTCGTTCTCCCAGCTGTGGGCTGGTTTGTGAACGTTTCATTATCAAGCTAGGTAACACCTTCAGTGGAGTTTAGGGGCTGACAGTGTTGGTATTCTGTTTATAAAGACTTAGGTGTGGGTGTGTCAATTGAGGGTCTTTTGACAGGTCCTGTGATGAGTCAGTCTTGTGATGGAATGCTAGGCCACATGCAATTCCATTAACAGACTCATTGACCTACAACCAGCCTACGAATCCCTAGAATCCAAATCAACCACACAGCCAAACAGAGACAGCACCAACCTTACACCAACTCTCCCCCACTCACATACACCAGCAGAGGTTAACTACAAATGACCCTGAGGTCAGATAATCTCCCTATCACAAGACCTATCACAAGACTCAGAGCTGACTCATCACAAGACCTGTTGAGAGCTGCACATAAATCCTAGGAGATGGGATATGAACTTCTTCCTAAACCTGGCATTAAATTATAACTTAAAATATTATAAAAAAGGACATATTTCCATGGGGGAATTTGTATGTGTCAAGGTAAATTGATGATCAGGGCAGCATGATTACAGCCTGCTCTTTCTCTGTGTGAGTACAAACATATGGGCAGCTTCAATCATATTGACAAGGCTACCTTGTTATTATTATTATTATGTAGGAAGTTATCACCCAGCCGTCTCCCAGAAAAATGAAATATCCTAGGAAATATTGAAAAGGCAGAATATTTCTCTGGATTTGAAAAGGAAGAAACATGTTTTAAAAGACAGAATAGCTCCTTTCAGCTTCCCCTTTGTCAATGAGCCATTAAAGCCTGAGCTACTCCACTTTACATAATAAAGAGTTCTCCCCTTCAGCTCCAGGGGGATGGGATTAAGGCATGACTAGCCTTTACCCACTCACCACATGGCATCTGAGAACTCAACCAAACTTAGATTCAAAACACAGCCTAGAGAGTTGCCCCTGCAGGCCCCATGGGAATCTGACAACCAATGAGAATACAAGCTCAAGATCAAAGGCCAGAGAGGGCATAAAACCAGGGACTCAGCACCTCAGCTTCTCTTCTTCCCCTTCTCTTTTTCTCCCCAACATTGAAGCATGTGATCATCTTTTCTGTTCAGGACTCAAGCCATGTGGTCCTGTCCACCATTAAATCATCTTTCCAAGCAGCCTCCCTGTCTCCAGTGTCTTTTTCCCCACTTGGAGCCGACCCCACAAGGACATTTCTTTCATCAATTGGTGACCCAGATGGGACTACAAGCTAGCCTAACCAATGGATATGGTCCAGGTAAGCCTCCCATGCCGGCACAGACCCCACTGAGTCTGTGGGTGGACTTTATCTTGGCCTTAACCATTTGGATGTAGGTTTTAAAGGGGTTTTAAGTTTGAGCTCAAAGGCTGCCTGAAAAGAAGGTGAGTACCTCTAAATTTTAATTTTAAAGTGTGGGAAATGTGTGTATGCCTGCATGTGTGTGACCAGTGTGTGTGAAAATGGATGGCAAAGTGAATGAAATTTTTTGTTGTTGTTGCTACTGTTTTTGTCCTGTGAAAGCAAAAAAGCAAATGCCCATTGTGCGTAAAGAGAGAGGAAAAGAGGAGGTGCTCATACCTGCTGATGACAGAACCCCTCCTGGGTAGCTGTACGGCCAGTCCTCCCGAGTCTTTCCCCAGGACTCAAAAACCATTGGAAAGTCCCTGCGAGTAAGGGCGCGAAAAACCCCATGTAGAGGGGCATGGAGGTTCCTGTGGTGAGAAACGCGAAAAGTCCCTCCGTAGGGCACGAAAAGTCCCTCCACAGGGCGCAAAAGAGTTCCCTCCATAGGGCAAGAAAAAGTTCCTTTAAACAGGGTCCAAAAAGGCCCTCTAAGAACACGAATTTTGAAGTGGGGAATATGAAGCGGCAAGGACGAAGTGAACCCCACATCTGAGCAAGATCATGGGAAGCGGTAGCTCAAGGGTGGTCACAGAAACCCCCCATGGGGAGTTATTGGGGGCATGGGATGAAAAGCAGATGCCTGTCCTGGCCGGTATGAAAAAAAGGAAAGCAAGAAATATGTAAAAAATGGGCTTTGCTGAAAGATGATATAGGAAAACTAATTTGGCTACATAAAGATACTTAAAAGAAAAGGGAAATGTTGGGGTTTCTTTTTTCTCTTTGTTTGTCTCTTTCTCTGTCTTCTAGGCAACCAGGTGGTTTGTTTGTTAAGATTTGTGCCTTCCCTAATTTAA